CGTCATACGGAGTGACAAATCCCAGTCTTGATTCGTGCCAACCCAACAGACACTTTCGGAGATACCCGTAGTGCACCTTTATAGCCACCCAGTTACGTTGTGACGTTTGATACACCAAAGCACTCCTACGGTATCCGGGAGTTGCACAATCTCATGGTCTAAGGAAATGATACTTGACATTAGAAAAGCTCTCACAAAACGAACTTACACGATCTTTGTGCTATGCTTAGGTTTGGGTCTTGTCCATCACATCATTCTCCTAATGATGTGATCCCGTTATCAATGACATCTCCATGTCCATAGCCAGGAAACCATGACTATCTGTTGATCAACGAGCTAGTCAACTAGAGGCTCACTAGGGACACATTGTGGTCTATGTATTCACACATGTATCACGATTTCCGGATAATACAATTATAGCATGAATAATAGACAATTATCATGAACAAGAAAATATAATAATCATTTTATTATTGCCTTTAGGGCATATTTCCAACACCCATGAGCTTCAAAACCGGGTATTTAGCCCCCTAGAGTTTGTAAAACCAGATAAAACACCCCCTGGCAGCTTTGGAGTGTGGTTTTTAGAGTGGTTTTCAACATGTGTGTTTCACTATTGTTTTGCTGGCATCTAGTACAGACTTCTGATGTTTGTTCGGCCGGAGCAACCTGGTAGGTGAAGCTAGGTTCGCTGTGGCTGATGCAACCTAGAAAGCTAACTCACATACGAAGCTAGCTTGACTTGATCTCTATCTGTTTGTAATTACCGGTCTTCACTGCCTCTTGCCGTTTCTCCACTTGTCGTCTGCGCCCTGCTGCACATCGCCAGACACGCTTTGTCATCTCAGTCAGTGCCACACGCCCCATCTGTGGACGTACTGTCCACGTATCCTGCCGGGCTTGCCTTTTCTGCAACTGACCACTAAGCTTGCAGAGCAGCGCGGACAATAAGAACACCGATTTTTTTTTTCAAAAAATACATGGAACTAAGCAACTGCCATTTCAATAACCCCGCGTCTTGATCTCATGGCAGATGCAGACACGTCTGCATGTATCCTAAGGAGAAGGCCAATGCGTCAAAGTGGGAGGAGTGCCAGGTCCAAGCATGTAGTGGAGAAAAGTGGCTCATGGCGGCGGAGCTCGAGCACTATGCTTGTAGTTTCTTGCTGCTTGTTGCTGACCCTCCTCCAATTTTACCCCGGACTCTCTCCCCTCAAAATAAGGACATGCACGTCCAACTCAAACCAGCCACACGCCACAACAAAGTGCACAACTGAAAAACGCAAGCAATGGCGGGGGCACGACCGCACAATGTCGCAAACCTGACGTAGTTGTTCGGCCTATGCGCACCAACAAGCAAGTGAGCAACACGACGCATGCTGGTACTGTGAGCACATAGGGAGAGGCAGTGAAACAGTCCGCAGTAGCGGACGAGGAAATGAAAGAGAGTATAGTGATGGAGTTGTGAATGTTGCAGGTTATGTGATGCATGATCGTAGCTGCACTGCACTGGCTCGTGTGATATGGGCCATGTGTTCAAAACCATTCTCAAAACCACCCTTTAAAGCTATTAGGGGGTGTTATATCTGGTTTTGCAAACTCCAGGGGGTCAAATACCCGGTTTTAAAGTTTAGGGGGGTTATGTGATCGTTCCCTGAAACCTTAGGGGGTTATGTAGACTTCTTTCATTACTATTGGGGACCGAGCGATCGCTTTTCGCTCCCCTGCTTTGTTTGCTCAGTTAATGGTGGACCGACATCGTTGATAGGTCGATCATTCACGAAATTCAAAAATTGTTTCTGGATTTAAAAAAATATTGAATATTGAAAATTTCATATATGTGAAAAAATATGATTTTGCAAAAAAGTTCATTTTTTTATTAAAAAAGCTGGAAATTTTGAGAAAAATATATTAATTTAAGAAAAGTTCATGGATTTGAAAAACAATTCTTGAACTCAGAAAAACTTCAGAAATTTAAAAAAGTACACGAATTGGGAAAAATTGCATGCATTTGAAAAAGAAAGTAAAATAAATTGAAAAATTTTGTGATTTCGAAAATACTTCATAGATTATGAAAGTTCAAGGATTTGAAGAAATTAATGAATTGTGAAAAAATCATGAATTTGAATCATGATTAGAAAATTAATGAAATAGAAAAGAAGAAATAAAGATACGAACAATAAAAACAAGGCAAAAACAAAAGGAAAAAAGAACAAAAACCGGCGGGAAACCCCACGGGAAAGAACGTGAAGGAAAACCGAACCGGCGTTAAAAAAAGCGCTAACATGATGGGCCAGTCCACTTAGGAACCTGCGTACACTGCTGGTGTGCGTCATTTACCGTTTCGCCTTGAAACGGCGCATCAGGCGCTTAAGGGCATGTATAATGATGGTATATGAATACAAATGCTTCATGACAAAAAGTAATTTGAGATATCTATGTTGATTTATTCTTCTCAATGCAAGCTATTACTAGTATATCTCATCAAAGAATAAAAAATAACACTCACTATACATGCATCCTCTTCACTTTAATTTTTCTAACTTTATGCACCGGACTATACTTTTTTCTCTTCAAGCACCCACCTTCTGTAGAGAATCTTGCTTCCTCATCCGAACCTACTTTTTCTGTTATCCAATTCTACATGGCATGTGAAGCATCACCCTGAGGCTATGCATTGGTCATGCCCTAATAGGATTCGGGCTACTACATCATATCTGCAGGGGTGTTGGCCGGATCATCTTTCACCTTTTGTATTGGCTGGCTATGAAAAAAATATAGACCACTTGAGCAATATATAAATACTTTCCCGCATAAAGAAAAAAAAACTAGGATTTGATTGTTTGATGGCAGTGGCAGTCGACCAACCGAACTAGCAAACTGAAGTTGAATGGCGGTCCCGAGCCGTTTTCTTTGAAGAGTCGCACGGACAGCGCATATGACCACTTTAGTGACGTTCAGGGACGGCGTCATCCAGAACTCCAGCACCAGCTGACCTTCCATCCACTTGAACGCCCCGTTGCGTGCCAGACCTGCCTGCCAGAGGTTGGTATAACCCTGTTTGTTTAGGACATTTTCAACGCTGACCTACAAATATTTCGTTGATCAATTATCGTGCTGTGATGACAGAGTATTAATTACTCCCTCCATCACGGTTTAGAAGACACAGTTAAATTTGCGTGCGTTTCCACAATAGATAAAGTTTAGGGCGCATTGCATTTATTTCTAATAGCTAATTAGTATTTTGATATACTATTTATATATGCATGCGTAGTGTGAATGTTATTTTTTAGCCCATCTCATAACCAATACATAATCACATAGGTCTCAAAAAATTTCCAAACACGTTCTCTAAACCGTGACGGAGGTAGTAGTAAGCTCCGCCCCTTTGACCAATCAATGTCGCCGGAAATCCCTCAGTTGCATGTGCCCAACCACGCCAACTGGATTTAGTTTAGAGAACCAGCGACATCCACTCACTACGGAAGACCGTGGGCTTGACGATGATGGATGGACACCCATGTTAGGAATTACTCAGGCTCTGTTTACACTGCGCCTAAAAATTTGTCAATGAATTTCATTAATAATATTTAAATTCTATGCCATATAAATTACACTGTTGGGATATACATTTCATTTCAAACCGGAGTGAATGGTACTATATAATCTCTGTGACATGTGAACCCACGTTTCGTTGAACATATTTGATCGTTATAATGATCGTGTGTCGTGTAAATAGGTATGGAAGAAATGGACGGGAACGTTTGGTTCCTTGGTGTATAAATACCTTATATGGAAAAATAAATTAGCAATTCAACAGAAAGTCAACAAAATCTAAAAATTATTTTTGAAATAAACTTCACCTTTTATTATACCTGTGAGAAAATTTTCACAAAAATAAATCACCCTTTCACTTCTTTTCAAAAAAGACGATTTTTTTGGTCAAAATAGTGTGAATATTGACCTATAATAGCAAATACATTTTGTCTTTTTTGCCCTAAACTCAATGTTGGTTTTTTTCGTGAAAATTTATATACTAGTGCAAAACAAAATCGAGTTTAATCTAAAAATACTTTTGAACTATTTTGACTTTTTGTTTAATTATTAAAAAAATACCCATATAGGATGTATATACAACCAGAAACTAAAGTGTATTTCCCTGGAAGAAATACCGTATTGGAAGGCAGTAGCTTGGGCAGAAGCTCTGCTTTTTCTTGAAGAATAATAAAAGAAAGTGCATTTCGCTTTTTAGGGAGAACCTATGAGTCACTTGAATGAGTCAACTGTTTCTTTTCCTCGCATCAGCCTTTTTTCACTCCTACGTCTTCCTCTTCTCCCATCTCGGCTACCCTCCCTTAGCTTTGGCTGAACCGGTTGCCACCATCACCCGTGGTTGATGCCATTATCGCGTCGCTTCGTCGCCCCGCCCAATACGAGTCATATCCTTTGTCGAGTTGTTGTCGTCTCGGATGTCCCTCTATACCCCTCCCCTTCTCCGACAGCGGTGATCATGCCTCACACCTCTACCCGCACCGTCGACTCTCTTACTCCCATCTAGCGGCGACACACTGCGGTTCCCATGAGTATGGAGTTGCGCATTCGTCTTCTCCACAGGAATCGGCTGAAATTGTTATTATTATTCTGTTGTAGTATAAGGAATAGCAAACATGAATTTTTATTCAAAACCAGAGGCCGACCGGGTGGCCAGCCATAGAAATACAAGGATGAAATGCAGAGCGACATTTTTTTCTGCCATCGCAAAAAGAAAAAAGAAGGAGAAAAACGTACACACGTTCTTGCCCTGACATCACATCATCAACTCACCATACAACATAAGTACATAACCCATTCACAGTATGAATTTTTTTTCGACAAAGGGTGATTTTATTGACAAAGAGTACGAACTTAACCAAGTCTATGCAACAATTTACCAAGCACGAAAGAACGCTTGCTCGATCGACCCTCCCTTCACACGTACGGCAATGAGCAGCCGGGTTCGATCAGCGGCCCATCTCCTGCATGCCGGGCGGGTTGACGCCGCCGGCGCCGCCGTTGCGGCGCTCTTGGTTGAGGTGCCAGCCGATCTCGGGGTCGTAGCCGCGGGCCTTGAGCTCCTTGTACTCCTGGACGAGCGCGCAGGGCTCGCAGCAGTAGTGCACGCAGCAGTCGCAGCAGGGCGCGTCCGGGAGCGCGTACTGGGCGCGCATCTTGGAGCGGTAGGTGCAGGAGTAGATCCAGTGGCACCCCGTGAGCGACGCCAGCAGCACGTAGAGCGCGCCGCTCGTCCCACACGACGTCGCGCCCCGGTCCACGATCTCCGCCACCTTCCCGAACGTGATGCACGGGCACCAGCAAGTCAGGCAACCTGCACACATCATAAGTATGTATTAGACATGCATTTCATGGCGATTGAGACGTTGAGATGAGTAGGAGGAAGATGGCATGAGCCGCCTGAGAGCAAGGCTACGTACAGAGGCCGCAGTCGTCGAAGCAGTCGAAGAGGCCGGAGGACCAGGCGGTGGGGGCGCCCGGTGCGCCGCCGACGGGGACGCCGGTGGCCGGCTCGGTGCCGGGCTTCATCGCGACGATGGCCGGTGAACTGGAAAGCTGTGATGAGGTGATCTTTGTGCGCTGGTGAGGTCGCTTTGCTGTTGCCTGTTGGCTGTTGTTGTGTGCCGGGAATGGGCTCGCCGGAGGGGTGCTTATATATAGGTCGTGGCCGGGCGGAGATGGGTAGGAATGCGTGTGCTGTCCCGAACGGTTCAGCGTGTAAAATAACCCAGCCGCGTTTTCAAGTCAAAGCGGCGTTCAATTGGCGCGAAGTAGCCGTATTTACGCAGTGTACGCGTCGTTGAAGGTGACAGCCAGCTGCCTGAAACCTCACATACCGTATAGCGTAGACTCATGATCTGATCAATTCTTCTGCGTGTGGTAAAAGGTACTCCTCGTCGACTCAGTAACCATTTTGATCTGAACGATTCTTCATCTTGGATGCACGTACCTGTATAAACAGCCCATCTGTTTTTTTTTTCACTGAACATTCAATGTGTTCTAGAGATGGAAAACACGATCAGTAATTACTACCAAATACGAATGGGGTGGTATATTTGCCAAAGGAAAATGTAGGGCGGTATTACTACTATGGGGACGGGAGTGTAATTCGGGCATGTATGCATGGGTGGTCGCATGTGCTGGAGCTGGACCGGCGGCCGTTGGTGTAGGACTATGGGCCGCCGGGAGCTTCGCCTACGTGCGCGTGTGTTTTCTTCCTCGATCAACGGCTTGGCTTGTTAATAATGCTCGTATATGATTGTGTTCTCGCTCTCACGTCTCAGCTATACTCCCAATCTTTTATTTGCGGGGTAGTTAGCTCAGCATCAGCCGACCATTAATCTAAAAGCTCTCTGGATAAGTAATGGTTTTTGCGCCAACTTTCAAGTCAATGTGAGTACGTACACGCTTAATTAGTACTTCATCCGTTCGAAAATATTTGTATCAAAATGGATAAAAGGGAATGTATATAGATGTATTTTAGTTCTAGATATATCTTTTTTTATCAATTTTGATGACAAGTATTTCCGGACGGAGAAAGTATTTCCTCCTTGGACTAATATAAGATCTTTTAAATTACTACTTAAAAGACCTTATATTAGTTTACAGAGAAAGTACCTACTGAATTTCTTTATGGCAGGTCAATAATCAGTGTTATAATCTGCTCGTGAACACGTCCACATGCTCCAGCTACACAAGATCGGTTTATATCTGACACGATACAAAGAAAAGCTTACTATTGGCTAGTGAAAGATTGGATACGGTTACATTTGTTAGTAGCACTGTAGAACTAGCTGCATGCTGTCAATTAGCTTGGTGCACCAGATACATCCCCATGATGCAGCCTGCAAGACCAGATACCGTGGATGATGAGGGGAGACGAACCGCACCAAAAACACGTGCAAAAATATACGTATAAACAACGTCATCATTTGAATTCCTACCACCACTTGCACGTCCCTGACCCGGTCACTAGCTCGTCCATGCATCTACTTCCTGCAGGGATACTTACGTAGGCCGCGACCAGCTTGACGGCTCGAACAAAGCTACACTAGTTCAACACGCCCTGCGTCCAGTCAGCACAGCATGCATGCCGAGGGAGCAACCCGGCTATAGCATGTCCTGCGTCCAGCGATCGTACTTACCGATGCCGTCGTGTCAGCGGGCCGATGTTAATTCTTACTCTAGTACACGGCGGCAAGTTTTGTTCGGAACTTGTATGTAGTAGGTCGATGGCGACAAGGCAAGCTAGCAAGGGGATCACATGCATCTACTTTTCTTTTTGGCAAATTCAAAGTTACCGAGTGATAGCAGCGCGACTAGTAATTCCACGCGGAGTGTGTCTCCACGTTTTTCCAGATTAGCATTTTTTTTTCTTTTAGTGCAGTCACTTTCATTTGGTCCGTAAAGATAGCCGGGTCAGGGGAGGCGGATTTATTTGTGGCACACAGGTATCAGAGCACCGAGTCCCTCGTACGTGGTTTTATTTTTAACTTTTGATTTTGAAACTTCTATATCTTTTGAACGAAAAGTTTAAATTAAGTTTTGTTTTCATATTCGTATTTCTCCCGATGAGTACTTTTATATATGACCCATTTTGGAAATGTTTTGATGAATTTTGAAAAATTAATGCTAACTTTCAACTCTTGAAACTTAGTACAGGTGACCGATAAATCATGGCTTTTGTCCCTACGATCGGAAACAAATCTTAAAATTTTACCTATGAAACAAGCTCAAACTCCAACCAAGAAAAGCAAGAAGACGAGACACAAGACACCAAGGCTGTGTCACGACCAACATGAGGCACTCACAATACGTGGCTACGACTCAAGAACTGACCGAATCGATGTACACCCACCATGGGTGCCTAGAAGAGTCGGCAAGTGCGTTGCAGGACATGGCATGGCCTGAGAAAGGAGCCATGGAGAAAGAGTCGATGTTGTCGTACATTACACACGCCCTGAGAAGCACCCACACCAAGCATGACATCCAACAACTCGAAATCCAACACTAGGGGTACTGGGACTCTGAAGGATTGGAGACTGCCACAGTTCTCTCCCACTAACAATTTTCCTCAATTAGTACTCTCTCCGAGTCAAAATAAGTATCGTGGTTTAGTTCAAAAAAAATCAGAGGGAGTAGTTTTGCTTTTCATTTCTTTGCGAAATATGTTTGGCGCATCTGCCACGGTCTTTGTGCAAGACGAGAGCTATCCACAGGCGAGAGACGTACTCGCACCAAGAACACGTGCAAAATAATTGACGCCCTCAAATCAGTTCCTACCGCCACACATGCACGCCATAGACCCGGCCACCAGCTCGTCCATGCAAGTTGGACGCAGTTTCTGTGCTCTTTCCTGCGGGGGCACGCAGGTCACGTGACGCGTCGGGTCCAGTTTCATGCCACACTACACGGTCCCGTGGCGCCCAGCTTGACGGCCCGAACACGCACGGACACGGTCCCCTCCCCGGCCGAGTCCTGCGTCCATCGGTGTCGTACTTGCCGATGCCGGCCGTGTCAGCTGGCCGATGTATTGAATTTATGCTTCAATCAATTCATTCAAAAGTCCGAACTGATGAAAAAAAATGAACAATATATCTTAACACGATGTCGTCTCTCGCTGTAGTGCTGCTGAAAATATCACTGGCGCGCCAAAGGAAGCGGCAACAAAGTTGCTACTCGGAACATGTACGTCGATGGCTACCAGGCAAGCGAGCAAGAGGGGTATAATACTACGAGTGTTTAAAACCATTTTACGAATTTCTCGCAAAAAAACCCTATTTTACTAATGTTTTGCCTTCGTTCGCAAATTGAAAGTTGCTAGCGGGTGATGGCAGCTAGGCTAGCAATTACTCCCTTCGTTTCGAATTACTTATTTTAGATTTGTTAGATACGGAGGTATCTAACACTAAAATGAGTCTAGATACATTCGTATCTAGACAAATTCAAGACAAGTAATTCGGAACGGAGGGAGTAGTTCCGTGTAGAGAGTGCCTTGGCGACTTCTGCCGTAATTTTTTTTTTGAGACAATGGCATGCCGTATATATAACTCAAAATGCTTGGCAAACGCACAAAGCGTGAGCGACTGGGCCTGCCCTTATGCGCTCCGCGATTGCAGCAATTTTCATTAAGGCTTTATAGTTGGTTTTCTCAAACCTTTTAAAAAGCTAAAAGCTAGGTTTGTCAAAAACAAAGGCTGCACTAGGAATTCTTAAAACCGTTATACTAAAAAATAAAAAATATGTTCATTGAAAATAAAAAATTTATGGAATTTGAAAAACGTTCATGTTCTCAAAAAAATTGAATTAAAAAATCTTTTGTATTTTGAAATTTTTTCTTGATTTTTCAAAAGTATTCTCAATATTTGAAAAAATACTGGAATTGCGAAAATGTTCCTGTATTTTAAAATGTGTCAAATTAAAAAAAACCAAAAGAAACCAGTGAAAAAATAATCCTAGGTGAACAGAAAAGATACCTGAGCTACCCC